CTTAGTTTTTAAAATTTTATCATTGAGAACTGATAAAATAGCTGAAATTTACTTGAATCGAACCCATTATCAAATTAACAAAAACATATTTGAGTGTTATGTCAGCACACTGAAGCAGATCAAAGTCCTTTAAATTAAGGCTGGTGTGATATATCAGATTTGAGATATAAAAGTGAGTTTTTTTGCAATTTTAAGAGGAAGTGGAGATTGCAGCAGATAGGTCTTTCTGGTCTAGCTAGTAGGGAGGCTTCTTAGGTATTTAAGAACAATTATGTTGGCAAGGGACATAAGGAAGAATTTGTTCAGAAAGCACAAGGCTAGTTTTGTTTGCAGGGACACGTGAGAGGATCTGCACTCAAGGTCAAATTGATGATTGTTTGCAAATGTTTGGCATAGAAATTTTGGCCTTAATTACCAATAATCTACCTTTTTCCTTTCCCTCTTTTATCAGTGAAGCAATTAAGTACCTCATAGAAGCTCTTCAATCTATTAGTGAAGTAGAGCTTGAAGATGCACTGGAAAAGATCATCGATGCAGTTGAAAAGCAACCCTGTAAGGACCATTTTCTTATTATATAGTTCTACATCTTTAGTTAAGCTTATAGACCTAGGTAGCAGTTGAAGACTCAATATCAAGGTGTCCTTAATGTTTGGAACATACCCAAGGGGTGATACCATTACTCAGAAACTTTTACAGTTCTTCTCCCTCGTGGATTCCCTTCTGATTCTTTATGGTCACTTTTTTTTTAAAAGATTTATTTACTTATGCATACAGAACTGGCTTACAGGCCAGAGGTGTATGGGTGGTGAGAGGATTCACCAGAGACAGAGTGGGGAGCAGAACAGGCTGACTGATGAGGTACATTGCTGAGGAGAGCAGCGGGCGGGTCAGGAGAGGTCTGCCATGTGGATCACCTCCAGGGCAGGGATTGAACTCATGCTAAAGTGGCTTTGGCTTCTTAGTGCTGTGCTTTAACCCACTGTGCCACCAGGGAAGGCCTTCTTATTGTCACTTTAAAGTCTTTCTACATGCCTATTATTTTTGCTTATGTTAGACACTCCTAAATGTTTTGTGGGGAAGACAGTGAACAGAGCTGATTCCCACATTTTGCTTCAGACTTTCTTCAGGGATGTTTTAGTTTTATACTTAACGTTTTACCACACGCTTGGCTGACAAAGGAAAAATGCTTCTCTCCTGGAAATAAATATCCAGTGTTCTAGAGCACTGAAGGATACAGGTAGGTGTGGCTTGCCCTCCTGCATTGTATAGGTAGCAGGTTCTACAGTTTCATAGGAAGAAACAATGCTAGTATATCTCATGTTCCTTTCTAATTGCGGACTTTTAAATATGCCTTTGCTTTTAGAATTCCTCTATAGTAGAAAATTTAGGAAATGATTGCTTTTTAAAAATTAGTATATATGTATTTACTATGGCACATGGCATTTTGTCTGAGAAGATACCAGCATTTCAAATGAGTCAGACTTGGGTTTGTGTTCGTCTCTACCCCTTGTGGCTGTGTTCTTTGGCAGGTTACTCAGCTTCTCAGCATTGTCCATCACCCATCTATAAGACATAGTCATATTAGCATCAGTTTTTGAGGTCATTGGAATGATGCTTCTTAAGTAATGAGCATGGTGCCCCACCTGTACTAAGCATTTACTAAGTGGTAGGTGTTATTGTTACCATCATCTCTGTTGAAACATCCCACATGTGATAAAATGTTATATTACTATAACATTATAATAACACTTACAGGAGTGTTTGTAAAGCTGAATGTGTGCAACAATACAGTATTTAGTAGGGTAAGGCATTTAGCTATGTATGAAGATACTGCAAGGATAATTTGAATGTGGAAAACTAAGGTTATTTGAGGTACACTTTTGTCATTCTTTTGATTTCCTTAAAAATGATATAATGGGACCCTTCCTGGTAGTGCAGTGGGTTAAAGCATAGTACTAAGAAGCTAAAGCCACTTCAGTACAAGTTTGATCTCTGGCCCCAGAGGTGATCCACATGGCGTGGCAG